AAATTTTTAACATTTAATGGTATTGGAATTAAATTTATTTAAAATTGCAATTTTGATTTATATATGGATAAGTGAGTAAATTAAAAAAAAAAATATACATATATTTTTAAAAAAACATTTTGACAGATTCTTTAATTTTCCTTTTATGATTCCTTTTTTATTTTCGTTTTGATTTTCACGGTTTAAACATTTTCTATAGAACTTTGACCAATGAATAGATCGTACGTAGATCTACAAACAGGTGGATTATATCTTGACTGATAAGAAGAATAATTTATAAATACTGGTATACAATATAATATTAATGGTTTAAGGTTTTTAAATTCATAATTACAAATGACATAACCAAAATGAAATTAAAATTTACATAAGTTTTTGGAAATTTTGTTTATAATATAGCGAAAAAAATTTTATTTTAACAATTTTGTATACGGTGTAAATTATAAATACATGTATGTACTATGTACTTAACTATATGTATTAATAACTATATAAATACTAATAAGGTGTACTAAAATAATCTATAATTGGGACTCCGTCAGATAATTAAAAGACAATAAAAAAAAATGTTTTTTTTTTTCTCTTTTTTAATTTTATTTATTACAAAATACCAATTTATTTAGTTTAAATGATTTTCTTTTATCTGGAAAATTTTTAATTGATTTTCTCAATTAATTTGAATTTTCGTTTGTAATGTTATGTACGTTGATGTGATTAGTGGAAATAAATTGTGAGTAAGTACCTTTTTAGCTAATATATTTCGGGAGAATAAAAAATGAAGTAGTAACATCGGTCTTACTAAAATATTACGAATCTTTCGTTTTGAAACATTCTGGTTATTCTTAATCAACCCTATAATGAATTTCGTTCATATTTCCGAAATTCGGAAAGTTAAGAATTCGGAATATTCTCTATTCCGAATTATTAAAATCCTACTACGAATATTCGTAATATAGGGTAATGATAAATTACGTTTCGTAGTAAAAATAACCCTCGAAAATTAACAAGCAATTTAAGCAGAGCGGTTGTTTAAAATTTGAAGTTTTCAAAAATATTTTTTTTTTTCACTTTTCAAAAACACTCGAAAACTAAAAAAAAAACTGCAAAACTTCGTTTTTATAAAAAAAATATCCTTTTTTATAAAATAGCAACAAAAAACATAATTAAACATATGACGGTCGAAATAAAATACTGATTTGACATACTCCGAAAAATTGTATTACCATTGCTGATTCATAATTTCAACGAAAGCTAAGTTCGCCGTTCGTAGAATTCTACGAGTGAAATTCATGATAGGTACTGAATATTTTGCCCTTTTCAGAAAACCGAGGTAATATTACTTGAGTGTCCGATAATTATAATAGTTATTTAAACAATTTGTAAGAGTGTGCTCAATTAGCCGATAAACAATTAGCAAAATAATTTTACCGGGAAATTTTTTTATTTAAAATTTTTTATTTGAAAATCAGTGTTTAATAATTTTGGTTGTAATTATTTGACTCTAAATAACTCTATATTTCCATACAACATTCCTTAATTTCACTTGGTAATGTAAGGGTTAACATCCAAATTTTAGTTTTTATATATTAAAAATTAACCTAGAGTTTGCAAACTTAACTCAATTCTTTTTACATATACTATAATATACTATTTTATAATTTGTTAAGAAGCAAAAAATTAATTACATACATTCATACATACATACATAATTTTTTTTAAAATTATCTACCCCTCTCGTTTTACATTATCGTTGAATATTTGGTGCAATATTATATTTTTATAGAAAATAAAATTAATGTAAAGAGAAACGGAACAAAAAATAAAATAAAATTAAAAAAAAAAAAGTAGAAAACATAGAAAAATGTACAATTCTATTTCTTCCACTTTTGTACTTAAACTCGTCTATAGAGAGTATTCGAAATCTTTTTACTATGAAAATAATAAAAGAATTTTTTAAAAATCCATTTATAGATATTAAAATAGCAGGAGAATGTCCACCATTAAGCAATGGCATTTTTAAATTTTTCAACTTCGTTCTTTTCCTTATTATATTTTTTTTTATTTACGTTTTTTTCCGTGTTTTGTGTGTGCATTTTTCTTTTTTTCGTTTTAAAAGAAAACTTGGTAAAAAAAAAAAAAAAACTTTGATTGGATATTCCCAATGGAAAAGTATTTTTCTGTTCTGTTAAGTTCGGGGACGCGGATCGGATATCTAAGTTTAAAAACTGAAAATGCTTTATGTATAAGGAAGAAAAAATAAATAAAAAAAAAAAAAACAAAAAATAAGTCAACATCGGAATCGAAGAATATTCATTTCAGCGTTTCAGCTCACTCGTTCTTTGTTCGTTTTGTTTCGTTTATTTTTTTTTTTACTACTTTTTGTTGTTCGTTTTGCGCTTGCATTGCATCTCTTTATGTGCGAGTATTTTACGTTAGAATTCTTCATATTTTGTCTTATTTTCCTTGACATTTTTTTGTGTTTTTTTTACTTTTATTTATTTTTTTTTTGAAATTCTTCATTTCTAGTATTGTTGAGTTTTCTCATTTATTTTTAACAATTTTCCGTTTACTTGACTGTCTATTATTTTTTTTGTCTTCTTCTTCAACTTCTTTTGCTTCTTCTTCATCTGTTATACAACTGAATAGTAGATATATGCATACCATGTAGTAAAACTCGTCATTATTATATTAAAGGACCTTTACTATATGGTTGTACAATATATTTTAAGTAATTTAATTTTTTTTTTTATTTACTTTTTATATACATTAAGTACGTTTAGATTTAAAACTATACCCGTTTTAAAGAGCAAAAAAAAAAATTAATTTTTTTTTCTTAATAAAATGAAAAGAATTCGATCGTGAGGAAAATTTTTTCTCATATTTTCATGAAGAAAAATATTTTCTATTTTTTTTTTTTGTTATTTTTTTCATATTTTTATAATGCTGCTATATGGTATTTTTGTTATATAGGATAAATGTGATTAAAAGCATGGAGTTTTGATATCAAGGTTTTGTGGAGGTTGAAAAAATTTCTTTACTTCATCAACGCGCGCCTGTACACATAACTATAATGAATGTGTTATTCCCTTTAAATATAATATTTATTTGTTATGTGATGCCTTTGTGGAATACTTTTTATATTATGCCAATATTTTGTATATATATATATACATGTATAAATGAAATTTTAATAATTATTTGATAGTATTGGAATAGATGTACATGTGATATTCCAAGGTCTAATGCTAAGAGCAATATTATTATAGTAAATTTTTTTAACCGCCTCCTAAATATTAGCTTAGTCCAAACGCAATGTTCGCATTTGTTAACTTATGAGCTATTTACTTAAGGGTTAAAAAATGTGCTCTTTCGTAATCTTTTATTCGTTTTTCGTTTATTCTATTGGTTCTCTGAAGAAACCGATTTTGTACAATGTCGATATACTTTATTCGATATCCGTACCATTTTACCAAATCGTGTAGACTATGTAGACTTTTTTTTTTGTTATGTTTTATCTCTAAATTCAAAGTTATTTTTCTTGAATTCAAGTAAATGGCATATGGATCATAATAATAATAAAATGATGAGATCAAGTATATGAAGAATAATTTATAAAATATGAAAAGTTATATAAAATGTTTAATCTTAATTTTGTCTATAAAAGCGGTGGCCTATATGGTTAACTTAAAAGGTTACGTAATTTTTGCTATTTTTTTTTTTATATTAGATATTTTTTAAATTTATAGCACAAAAGAGTTTCCAAGATTTCCTGAGTAAAATATTTGTTTTTGGTTTTTATTATTGTTATTTTTGTAATAGAATACTGAGTTTTAAGTTCAACTCTCCTCCTATGTTAGTTTTTCTGTATAAGGTGTTCAATTTTTAAATTAAATTTAAATTGAATTTAAATGGAAGATGAAATAAAAATTGATCATTTAAATTAAAGATTTTAAGAGAATTTATTAATGAAAATTGTCTCAATTGCGTTTTAAAGGTATTTAAATTTTTGTTCCATTAACCGCTCCTGAATTTAATAAAATGTTTAATCAATTTCGTACATAAAATTTATTTGATATGTGGGCGCTAATTATTAAATTCTAATTAGTTGTTCTTGTTAATTAACAAGAACAACATCTATAAAATTTTGAGATCTTTTAAATAATCTTTTTTTTTTTTAGCACAACTGTACACCTTATAAAAAAAAAGTATTTTTCTCTTTTCTTTCTATATCATTTTGATATTGTACTCGTATAGTGTTGCGCTCTTTTATTTTTCTTATTCGATCATTATTGCGATTTAAAATTAATTTTAAAATGTTAACAGACAGCTTGTCTACAATGACAGCAAATAACAATGAATGTTGTCCTGAGATTTGTTTTAAAAAAATTTTTTTTTTATATATTTATATGTAATTTTATAATCTTGCGGGACTTGTATAAAAAGTAAATGCTAGGAAATGAGTAAAACGTTAAAATAGTATTGCACAAAAAAAAAAATTATGTGGAAATATTTTGAACAGGAATTTATTTCCTTAAAAATATTTGACATCATAGTCAAGAATTGGGATCTAAGTATATGCTATAACACAATTTGCCATATACTTAGGTACTTGTATTATATGTATATAAACTTTATCAATGGTCAAAAGGGATTTATATACTGTATTGTCCTCGAATATGAATTTTTTAATAGATTTTACTTTGAATTTTTATTTGATAAATTTTTTTTTTGTTCATTTATGGAGAATTTAATAAATTGAACAATTTTATTGACGTATTATTAATTTTTGTCTTGTCTATTGCATAAGAACATGTATACTAGCTTTTGGCAAATAAAATATTTTTAATTAGAATGTTTAGTAAAAATGATAGAAATTTTACAATAAATTTACAATCTTAAAATTATTATTTATTAGAGAAATTATTATAAAAATTTTAATTATAAATTTTCTTTAAAATTTTATATACTTAATTAATTTTAAACTTTAATTTTAGGATGATAGATCACCATGTTCATCGGGAAATGAAACAGATGATTCGTCAGATATGGATTCACCATGTCCAATTTCATCAAATATTAAAAATAGTTGTGGTATTGGTAGTAATAGCAGTGGTAATGCAATACCAAATGAAATTACATTACCAGATTCACCAATTATTATAAGTACTAATAACAGTAATAATAATAACAATAATAATAACAATAATAATAAAAATAATAATTCATCAACCATACATAATATAATAAGTAATCAACAACAAAAGCATTCATCATCACATGGTTCTGGTACTGGAGGACATCATCATCATCATCATAATCAACAACAACAATCATCACAAATTATAACATCAACTGGTGGTACAAGTTCAAGTTCACAACACAATCCACATCATGGTGGTAATTCAACAAATTCTAATAGTGGTGGAAGTGGAACAACAACAATTAGTGGTACATCAAATACATCAAATGTACAATTTTCTGGTATAAATAATGTTTTATATCCATCAACTTTGGCAAATATTCCTCAAGAAGTTCTATTAAGTTTAGTACAAGCTGGTCATTTACAATTGCATACTGATGAAGGTATTTTATTATATATATATATATATATATATAAGCTATAAATATTAATAATAATTACAAAATTTAGTGCCACATCGTCATGGCATTCGTCACAAAAGAAATAATTTCTAGCATATATAAGATGATAATGAGGTAGTACATTACTATATGAGCTACTTGTCCTACTTATTAAATTTAGGCTCGTATTTCAAAAAGTTTAATCACAAAATTTTTTATTAATAATTTTCAAATTTTTTTTCAAATAATAAATTGCCTCTATTAAGATTAAGAGTTCTCCAGATTTCTTAAAGAAAATTTTTAAAAATTTGCTTAGAAAATCTTTATTTCTTAAAGTTTATCCAGCAAATACAATGTGCGTATTGTACAGTGCCGCTGTCTTGAAACGCAATAGAGCAAATAAATTAACCTTTTTAAAATGGTATAACAAACACCTTATAAATTGATAAGTACCTTATCAATAGTAGATTCCACTTAATTTACTTTTATAAATTTTTTTCTAGCAAAGAAATCATATCTGAAAAGTTCTTATTACAGTAAAACCCGGTTAGCTGCTCCCATTTTAACAGAGTTTTTGCAATACTTACGCAAAGTTTCGTGGTCTCATTTCATTCCCCATTTACTTGCATATAAAAAAATTCTTTTTATAGTTACAAACCATCGCAGTAACAAAAACTTTTATTAACAAACTTAAAATGTATGTTGATAATATTTGCCACTAGCTGCAAGTATTTACATTTAAATGCCGCTCAATTTACGTTCAAATGCCGTTTTACACATTTTTTCAAATTCAGCCTCTTGATTTAGGTATTATAAGATCTTTTAAATCGTATTACCGCAAAATAATAATTAGAAAACAATTGATGGCTATCGAAAAAGGATTGACTTCAGGAGAGTTTACAAAATCTATTAATATACATATAGAATAAAAATTTGTATAAATACGTACATATTTCTGTGTTATTACAATTTTGTTTTATTTCATTTAGCAGTCCGTTTAAGGCATATTTAAGCGGGTTCAGTTAAGTTCATGAATTGTGCAGCTAAGAGAGAATTCTTTTAATTGCTTTTTTAACATAGCTACCTAATTTTTACGGCTTAAAATTGGCGAGTCAATTAACCGGGCTTTACTGTTCATTTTTCAAACATTTCTATTTAAATTTCATAATAATATGTTTTGTCTATAAGCTTGGTTAAACATAAACAAACCACTAATAAAATTGTTTTGGAAAAAAGTTTTTTTTTATAATTTAATTAAATTTTTTTCTTATGGAATTACTTAACCATAAATGAATCAAAATTTGTTCTTTTTGGAAGATTTAAATTATTTCCATTTTTGTTTCTATATAATACAAATTTATACACTATATACAAACATTGTTTTTTAAGTTAAAATAAATACATGGTATTATTTTGTCCGAACAGATGTACAATATTTTTGATCAAGTGGTTTTTAAAATAACATAAGAACAACTTCCATAACATGAAATACAATATTTATTATGTAAAAATTGAAAATTTCCTTGTTTAGGATGAAGTTACACAAAATTTATACACAAAAAAAATTATTTGTTTCTTTCCTTATCGTTTCCTTATTTAAAGTCTTTATGTACCATCTATGTATGTTTACTTATGTATATATGTGTTTAAATATTTGTATAAATAAATGAAAATTTATTCTAAAATAATAAACGTATAACTATATTATTTGTATATGAATAAGAAAATTTCATGAATGAATTGTCAAATTTAGGTGGAGAACAAGCAAAAGAAAAACTTACAAATATTGACACAAAACTCTTCTTTCCATAATGAGAAAGCTGGCCACTAACAATACATTCATTTTTGGAAAATTTCTATATGTCTTTAATTTTAAATAGTATATACAATATAATGCTCGCTCATAATAAATAATGTTAACAACTGCCTGATTAAGTGTATGTATAATTGAAATGGAATTTATTTTTGTATGGTTATGGAGATTTCAAATTAAAATTAATTGTAAATACAATGCTTATTATGACAGTTTATTATATTGAGATGATATAGCACCTATTCGAAAACGGTGAGATCAAATAAATCGGAAACATTATCAAAATTTTAGGTCATTATGGTGTGTAGATGAGCAAGAGAACTATCTTATACAGGATGTTATTATAAAAATTTGTCTTAAATGAAATGTAAGCAACATGTTGGCAAATAACCCACTTCTTTTTCCATTTTTTATCACAGCTATAAAAATTTAGTTCTGTATAATTAAAAAATTAATTTATTTGATCAATATGGTTCAGTTTGCTTCTGGTATCTTGTCAACCATTTCTGCAAACAAATAGTTTCCAGATAAAATCCACAATAGTTTCAATAATTAATCAATTTGATAACAAACGTAATAATTCAAGCAACTATACATATACGCAATTAAATTATCACTAAAATATCTCAGGTTTGTTCAAATTTATGTTAATGATACCGAAAAGGGCAGCGACATCTGTCGAAAAAAAATTGCATTTACAATATATAAATGGCTAAAACATGAGTGATAGCAATCCGTTCAGTAAAATTATTAAGTTTTTAACAGTTACATACGAACTTCGACAACATGCTGAATATTTTGAGCTAAAATCGCTAATAAACTAAATTCTCTTCTTTAATAACATTATAATTTTAATATAAGAGAATATTATAAGTTCTGAATAACCGTAACTATAAATCAATTAACCGGTATATTATTTTTCAAGTATACAGCGAAACTGATTTACTTTTCCTTTTTATTTCATATTCACCATTTTTAAACTAAAATTAATAACCAATTTTGTTAAAATTATACTTACATTTTGTGTAAAAAACAAGAACAAATTATCAATAAGTAAAATTAAAATAAGCAAATTAAGTGTATGCGGAAACTTACCAAACTAACAAGTTTCTTTTTTAAGTGAAATTTAAATTTTGCATAAATACAAAACGAACACAACTCTTACTACACTTACAAATATTACGGGCTACTATAATAGAATACTGAAAAATAAAAATTAACACAGAGAAAAAAATTTAGTCTGTCCCGCATTTTATAAATCCAGTCTAGTTCAGCCAGCCAGAGAGAATGCGATAATGATGAAAGTTTCCAGAATCGGAAATAACTTAAATTTTTCTTATTTAATGTTTATCAAAATATATGTATATGTATATTCATATGCGTCTATAAGAATTTATGGCATGAACGCATTTATGACTAAATTGTATATTGTTTTAATAAAAATCAATTTTTGGGTTCCACCATTTTTAGTTGTTGTGTTACAAATTTCCATTTCAATTCAATATTGTTTTTTGTTATTGTTGCTCTCTTAAAATGTTGAATTGAAACATTTTTTTTTCCTCAGTCTTATTATAATATTTTTGTGTTTATTTTGTTGTATGTTTATATGGAATTTCAATAAAACTTTTTTTGGGGTTTTCAATTAAAATAAAAAAGTACAAAAAAAAAATACAACAAACACAGAGAAAAAAAAAATCGAAACCTCTTTAAAAGGGCATATAAATTCTCGTGTACATCGTAAGTTGCTTTATTTTTTCATACCACATTTGTAACTTCTATATTTTAATGTTGTGCCTTATTTCTGTTTTTTTTTTTTTTGTTTTTTAAGGAAACAGAACTAATTTGGAGTACATACATATATGATATGATTGGATTGGATTATTGGAGACTTTCGTTTTAGTTTTTTTTTTTGTTTTGTTACTTTTTTAGACCGTCTTCCATACATTTTAGGATGAATTCAGTTTTCATATTTGTTTCTCATTAAGCCTTTTTAAAAATTTTGTTTTGGTTTATAGAGAGACTTTTTATGGAAAATATAGTGTAAAGGACGGTAGTTGAACTCTGACAATGAAATATTTAAATTATATCAGAGTCATTGTTTTGGGATAAAAGTAACAAAAATTTACTATAAAAAAAAAAAAATGAAATTATAAAATATGGTAACAGCAACAATTACAAAAAAAGAAAATTATGACAATCAGATTGCGATTAATAGCGGCGGCGCTATATTAAGATTTCAAAAAAAAAAAAAAAAAAAACAATAATAATTTTGTGTATACTTTTTAAATAAACTATTTGTAACAATTGAAATCCAAAATATATGGATGTAAATTAATTTAAATATTATTTGAGATATTATTTCTATATTTAATTTAAATTTAAATTAGAAATATTAAAAATAAAATATGTGATTAGCTATATTTAATATTTTATTCACATTAACCTTATATGTTTTCATATAACGGTATAATTCAGTCACATAACGGTATAATTAGTGAAAATTATATAGAAAATTTTATTACTTAATAATTATATATATATATATATATATATAGATTTAAAAATTTATTGAACTTAAATATGGTTGAACATTTAAAAAAAAGTCGGAATAAATATAGGAACTATAGTCTGATTGTATTTAGAATTGTGTATATGAAAAGTGTAGTATGGGAAAACAATACCGAGAGAGTATGAATTATTGTGATACTGTGATCCACTAAACTTTAAAAAAACAAAATGGCCGTTTAAAACTATTGTTGTTTAAAATCCATTTTTTTCAAATTTTTGATGTTGTTTTTCTTCTAGATCCCAGGTTGTGGCAGCCTGAAATTTTAGTAGCTTTTACGTACTAATAAACAGTTTATTTCGTTAGAAGAAAGTTTTTTTCCATTTCCACCCCGTCTCAAGTTATCGCCTCTTGAAATTTGTAAAGTTTGAATTTTTTACGCCTTATATTTCCGAAACCGCAAGCTTTTTTACATTTCTATAAACGCAAAAAGCTAACGGTAAATTCCATGACATCAAAAAATATAATTATTTTTCTTAAATCACGCAATTAACCCATAAAATCGACCATTATGTTAACCCTTCTTTAAATTAAATTTTTGCTTTATTTCAAACATGCATAAATCGTTCATCCTAAATATATGCAATTCTAGAAATAGTTTCGTATATGAATGACAATAATTTTAATAGTGTGCATAGACTGTATTTAAAAACAGTATTTTCAATTGTTGAAGGGAAAAGTGCTACAATACAAACCATTGGTTTGACCGAATTTTATTATATTTACTGCGACTCTTAACGCTCTAAAAGTATGCAATATATATATTATTAATAAATTCTTTTGTGGGGTTATTAAATTTTAACATTTAGGAGATTTCCTTTAGAAGAACTATAATTACTTTTGAATTTATTTGAAAACTAATAAGATTTTGATGTTTATTATACAAAAAGCATAAAATGAAAGATTTATTTTTTAAATAATTATAAAAAATATAAAAACATAAATTTTTTAATTAGTTACACTTAATTTTTTGTGCTGGAAATTTTCTTTTTTATTACGGTAAAAATCATATAATTTAAAATTTATCCCATTAAATAAATTTTTCATCTGAGATTATTATATAAAAAAAAAATAATATAAAATATGAAGTACTAAAAAAAAAACTATTATAAAAATATTAAAATATGAAAGTAAAAAAAAAAAAATTAAATAACAAAATACAGTTAAAGTTAATGACGAAATTAAATTGAAATTGTTAAAAAATAAATTCAATTATCTTAATTGTTTAATTAAGTTTAATTTCTTAATTAAGTGAAATTGAATATTAAGGAAAAATGGAGGTCCTTTTTATATGTTTCCAAAAATAATTTTTGTTTTCCGTTTTGTTTGTACTTTTTTTTTGCTTTTACTTATAATAATGCTTAATTAGAAATTATTTAAATAATCTCAGAGGGAAGAAAATTTAAAGGTCTGAGGGAAGAAAATTTAAAGGTGTGATTAATTGCAATTTGGAATGCATTTTCTGGCTAAAATATAAGAGATAGGAGGTTTTAAAGGGAATTTTTGAAAACTTCATTGAAAAGCATTAACAGTATATGATTTTGATAAATTGAACCTTCTTTTTCTCTTAAACTAAAGAATTTCGTTCAATGTAACAAAAAAAAAATTTAATGAATATTTTTTCCATATTTAATGAGCACATTATTTATCAAACGAATTTTTAATCCCGCTGTATAAATTTCGTAATAAAATTTTTAAAATAAAAATACCAAAATAATAAACTTTATTTTTAAAATATTTCGAATTAAATATGAATCCAATTTTTAATAATATTGTTGATAATCAAGCATTACAAAATACAAAAATATTTTCCCATTTACAATATTTAAATTTTCATTTAAATTCAATATTAAAATTTTTAAAATATTTAATTTTAATTATTTTCTTTTATATTAAACAGATGGTAGCGGTCATCAAATAATATCAATTCCATTAACAATGACATCAAATAATTCTGGTAGCAGTAATTTAAGTGGTAATAATGGAAATAATGGTAATTCTAGTCGCAATACCACAAATACCGTTACTAATAACAATAATAATCAATTTGGTTTACTTACATCAACATCTTCATCATCGGTATCAACATCAACATCATCAACAGCAAATATTATTGGTATTAGTAGTGATAATACCTTAATACCATCAAATTCAACTGTTGGGCATATTGTTTCAATAAACAATAATAATAATAATTCAAATAATTCAAATAATATTGGTGGCGGTATAAATAAAATTCATGTTAAGGATTTATCCAATAAAATAGGAAATTCATCATCAAATAACGCATTTGAAATTTCTACAGCAGTTTTAGTATCGGGTGGTAAAAATGGTAGAGAATCACCATCATCAGCGCCACCACCTCCGATTCGAATAAAAAAAGAAATTGAATGAAAAGAAAAATGGAAACAAAAAAAAAAAAAAATTAATTACTGAAAATTGTTCTTATTTTTTTTTTTTTGTTTTTCTTTATTATTATTAATTTTTAAATAAATTATAATATGCAAAAATAATCATATTTACACATACATACACAGATATGTATGTATGTATATACGTTATGTGTATAATTTAATAATGGTTATATGCAATAGGATAATAAAATAACTGGTATGAAATTAAATGGAAAAAATAAATTTATTATAAAAAGGAAAATAAACAAAAAAAAAAAAACAAAAACGAAAGAAGAGAAAAATGTCAAATAAAATTTTCCAGTACGAAACAGAAAAACAAAACAATTATTTTGACAGTTTAATACTAAATGTCAATTTTTCTTTGACTTTTTGTTTTTGTGTCTATTTGTTTTTGGTTATTTTTTTTTGTGATTTCAATTTGTCAACATTGCATTGCTGCTCGATTTACTTAATGTTAATAAACTTTACATGTCAATTATGTTAATTAAAAAAAATACATTTATATTGAATAAGTGAAAAAAAAAATGAAACATTGCAAAATAAAATGTGTTCATAAAAGGATTTTCGTAAATTGCTTTTAACACTTTTCAACATAAATTTTATTTTAATTTATAACTGCGATAGCATGCACTCGTACAAAAGAGTACATATATGAAGCTATAGTTGTGTAATATACTTACATATTCGAAGAGTAACATTATAACTTAAGAATTTAAATTAAAAGTTAATTAAAAAAATAAATTCGAAAATTTTTTTTTTTATTATAGTAAAGGATTTAAATATATTGTGAGTAATTTTGGCATTAACAGTTGAAAAGAATTCACAAAAATCAACAATAAGAATGTCAACATTGAAATTAATTGAATAAAATGTCAATTTTGATAGTAAAATTTTCCTTCAATATTGTTTTTTCTCTTTAAAAACGGATAAATTAATGTATACAAAAATTTCGAGAATAGATAATATTACTCTCGTTTTGATTTTAAGAGAAAATTACAAAATAAACATTAAAATTCTGTAAGTAATTAATAGTATACTCGTTTATTTGTTTAACATAGTTGCCCTGAATATTATTTGCAATATTTTGTTTAATAAGTTTCCTAAAATAATAATTAAAAACATTATTTTTGAAAAAGCAGTTTGTTGTTTTATCATGAAATTGGTATTTTTGGATTATACGAATCTTTTAATATGGGTATATAATTACCACTATACTGCTTCTACTCAAAATTTTCTTGATTTTCTTAATTGCTCACAAAGTTTTAGATTACGTGTATCGCATTAAATTTTCAAACACACTTCTTATAGACAAACACACTATTTTGTTGTAAAGTTTTGGAATAAAATGCAATTTTGATTTATTATTAAAATTGTTGAAAATTTTCATTTTTACGTACTACAATATTTATTAAACAAAGAAAAGGTTTTCGGAAAAGATGCATAACAAAAAGTCAAAGAGAACATATTATTATTAATGTACGTTTTTTATTTTTAATATAAAAATATTAAATTAATTAATCAATATCAATTAAAATTTAAATAAAAAATTATAAGGAAAAAAAAAATACAATAAAATTTAATTAACAAAAAAAAATAATAATTATATTTAAAAAGTTAATTGAATAATTATAAAAAAATTTAGAATTAAAATTTAAAAAGCAAAAAAGAACATTAAAATATTTTATTTTATTTACATAATATTATTAAATAAAAAAAATTTTGAACACTCTTCAAAACAATTCAAATATAATTTTATGACCTTCCAAGCTGAAAACAATTTAATTTATAAAATTATAAGTTATTTTTTCATTTTTTATTTAATATATTTTAATTTAATAGTATATATATTTGGAACTGCCAAAATATTATTCAATAATTTTATAATTTCATTATAAGCAACCATTTATAAATTCTTTAATTCCTAAATTTATAGAATTTTTAAATAATTTGGTGTTTAATTTTGTAATTATTTTTATTTTTTTTTCATATTCATTGTATGTTTGTTTTGTGCGTTTTTTTATCATTATATTTCCATATATTTTAATTTTTTTATTTTTTTTTTTAAATTTAATTAATATTATCATTTATAATTAGTTATAAATTAAATTTTTTAATTTTTTTTTTCTTCTAGTCATAATCACCTAATTTTTTTTACATAATAATTTTATGTTTTTGCTATTATAATAACTGAATAGGGTGATTCACCAACAGGTTAGGAGCAATATACCATTTTCGTGTGGAACATAGTGTTAAATCGGAACCGTTTCCCAGCTATAGGGATTTTAAGAAAATTTGGCAAAAATTTTAATGTACTTAAGTTTCTTGGCCTATAATTTTTGTTACAAAAAAGATAGAAGTTTCAAAAAAATAAGTTTTGAAAGTGCTTTAAGAGGGCTTTAAATAAAGAACAGTCAGTTATTTGGTTTTACATGTTTTTTCAGAAATACGAATCAGCATTCGAGATTTAGGAAAATTACAATTTTCCTCATCTTTTTTTTTTTTTTTTTAACTTTTTTTGTCTTGACAATTTTTCATGAATTTTTTTGAAACTTCCAAAATTCTTTTTACAGAATTATTGCTATTGTCAAACTGTTTAAGCTTTAATTTAAATCGTTAATTACGGTACAGGAGATATGGCAAAAAAATCATTTTTATATCCGGTTTTTAAAGACCTTAAAAATATGTGTAAACTCTAAACATTATGACTATTATCGTTTTCGGAACGGCATAATTTAAGTATGTTAAAATTTTACAAAATTTTCTTAAAATCCCTTTAGCTCGAAAATGGTTCCGATTTAACATTATATGCTCCGAATAAAAATTTTACTCATTTTCAACCCTCTACCCGATAGTATATCACTCTTAACTTATTGGTAAATCACCCTGTATTATGTTATTTCAAATTAAATATGGCACAAAAAAAATTTTCAACAGCCTTATTATTATAATAAATACTATATAAATTATATTATAAATTATTGGTACATAATTAAAAAAAAAAAATAATAATAAAAAAAAATATTAATTAAAATTATTAATATATCCAGTTAATAAAATGCAGTAATGCCTTTAAAAAAAAATTCGGCAGAGAACTGCATAAAGAAAGAGAGTGCGAAAGAAAATATTTAGTCATTATGTATAGAGAAATGAGATTAATGATTTATAATTGTGCTATTAATCTCACCAGTTATGCAATAATATGACATTTTATAATTAGAAATTTTTAATTTTTTGTTTTTTTTTGTGATATTTGGCAATACCGAAGAAATTTTTCGCTTCAAATCTGATTTGATAAGAAAAACAAAATATTCTAATTTTCCATAAAAATATTTTTTTTTTTTTTTTAAACGATTGCTCGGAAATGCCTGGAATATAAAGTACATCAAATTCTTTTGTAAATTCAACTAAAACTTTAATATTTAAAAAAAATATTTGAAGGAATATAAATTATAAATATTTCATTAAACGACATCTATATGTTGTTTATTTTACGATAATTTTCATTACAATATCAAAGTCAATACTTTAATCTATTCCATTTCTTTTCTATCATAATGGATAGGAAAGAATGGATTTGGCAAAAATTCTTCCTATTTAACTTTTATTTTTGTAGCCCGCCCCTATATTCAAAATAAAAATATTAAAATTCAACCTATTGTTGTCCATATTTTACAATCGTATATAAAATAATTATAATTCAAAAATGAAATTAGTAATGGTCGTAATGTTAACAAAAATAATCGAAGTTAACCATTTATTTATAGAATTATGTATAATAAATTAAATATTATCATTAATAAAAATTTTCTTATATTCTAATCTATTACATTCAATAAATTTTAAGGAAATGCATAATATGAATTTTCAGAAACATTTTTAAGATAACTGGATATTTTAGAACGCACACTATATAATTTCTAGCAATACCTTAATTTTCAATAATTAAAATTTTCTGCTTATAAATATTATAAACATGAATTCAAATTTAATGTTATTGCGATTATTAAAATTGAAAATATTTAATTAAATTTTCATGGAAGAAACGTTTCTTGAGTCATAATTCTATAATGGTATAAAAATTTTAATCAGAATTTGGAATATTTCACTTATATACTTTTAAAATATTTTTTGTCACTTATAAAATAGTCTGATAATCATATAAAAATTCTAATTCATTTAATAATATAAGTAAAAAAAAAAAACAAGAAATTAATCAAATATTAAATAAAAAAACCCATCGCAAAAACCTTAATTATCGCGAAAAATATTCACATACTTACATAGCTATAATTCAAGAATTCATCAATTTGTATTTAATTGAAATTAAAAAAAAAAATAAAAAAAAAATTTTTTTTTTTTGTAATTAATTAATGAAGTACATTTAAAATAAATTAATAAAGTTTATATTTTTCAAAAATTATTAAAAATCACTTTTATTTATTTTAATTTTAGAAATTATAAAACAAATATAAAATGATGGTCCTATATAAAAAATTTGGTATTTGATCAATGATGTACAAGGACAATGGTTCAAATATAAGGTACTGGACCTTCAACTGAAGGCCATCGTAATTTCCCGAAGCGTTATTCTCCGGTCATAGTGAAGGCTTAGCATTCTTTCTGAAAAGGAAAAACTTAGCATGCCTCTAAATATCGGCTGACTTCTGCTACGCAACGCAGCAGTAAGCGAACCATTCTCAGATGAGTAAATAGAACAACATGTGATGTGGCAAGAAAGTTGTGACCAAAGCTAAACTTGCATCAAACAAGACATGTTATATCTCTTCAACGAGATATGTCGGTACCGCAATGGGGGTTCTAACGAGAAACTGTCTGATTGGTAAACGTGCCAGTAAGATAGAACGCCACGCAAACGACCTTTATAAATAATGCTGAAATGAAGGGAAAGAAGAAGCGGTGACCCACTTAAACTGGCTCATTTCCGGCTTTGACAAACTTCATTTAGAGGTTTTTTGGGGCACACTTCTTTCAGCGGACTACGCATAAAACGAATGAAAGTGCTAGCGACCTTACCTAGTTTCTTAGGTTAGTTCTAAATTGAGGAGGCGGAGTGTATATTCAACTAAAATATTATTAAAGGGGTAAGGTCTTGATTAGAATGATTTATAAATCTCAACGCTCCAAAAACGTAACTCCAAGAATTATGTTTAATTTTCTCCATACACGCATTACAAACATATATTGATGTTTCAAAGACTACATTTTTGTAATAGTTTTATATAATTTCTCGTGGTTCAGCTGTTCTTTTTAATAAATAAAAAAAATATTTTTTTTTTTTTTAAATAAAAGACCACTAGAAAATCTTTTTGTTTTTTAAATTTAAATTATAAAATTTATAATTAAATACACCGCAAATTATACACAAATATATTTACATAAGTGATTATAATTACAATTTTACAAAAGTAGAGAAAA